TGTGATAGAGTTTGTTTTCAACTTCCAATTGCAATAGAAAAACAATATAAAATTTACCATTTTTAGATGGAGCATCCAGTAGTGTTAATTAAATCCACATTGTTATATAGCACCTCTAGAATTTGTTTTATCTTGCAAAATCAAAGCTCTAGACCCACTGAACAAATGCACCTCATATCCCCCTCCACCCCTGCCACTGCCTCATCACCGATCATTCATACAGGGACATTCTGATATGGTCAGTGTTTTTACCAAAAACAGTAATTACCACGAAAATAAACCATATCTTTCTTTTTTCCTGCCAGCCCCCTCAGGAGCAAAAGAATACTTCTGAAATAGCGATGTTCTTATCTTTTGTTAACTAAACCTTAGAGCTACTCTGTGTTTTCATCCATTGCTGCCCACAAGGGCTGGGAGCAGAAAGTTTGAGGTCCTCAAGAACAGGATTTGGTAGTCTACAAAAATTTAAAAAGTAAACATTTTTAAATTGCAAGTATACATCAAGGGAATTCAAACCCCACCAGAAAAAAGTTGCAGAGCTCCAAGCAGGCTCATGGAGAAAACATTTCCCTTGGAAAGGAAAGGGCTGGTTTGGAATTCTGGCTCTGCCAAGTTTCAAGCTGTGTGATCTTTGGGGGGTGGGGGGTGGTTACCGAACCTCTCAGTAATCCCTCATCTGTGAGATAGGAAAAGTAACGCCTATATGTGGTGAAGATAAAAAGAAGTTATACCCTACAACTATCGCATAGTGGGTACTCATTTACTGTTAGCTCCCTCCCTCTCCCCATTTTGGCTATGTGTATGTATCTCCCTGAGCTTCAGTTCCCTCGCCTGTCAGGTGTACAGGGTCACTATGAGGCTTAAAAGGCGAAAAGTATGTAAATGTGTAAGAATAATTTCATACTAGACAATAATTGTTTTTAAATGAACTTTTATTTCTACAGATATTGTAACTAATCAGGAAAGAAAATAAGCATTGAATACAGATAATTAGTATTTCCCCAAAGAAGATTATTAACATTTACCTGATAAACAATGGTTGTTCCTGGAACATTTAAATCTCTTATCTGTTTGAGAGCAAAGGGCTGGCCTGGATCTCTTGAGGGTGTATGTGCCCTCAGGACTATATGGTTCTGTCCTAATCCTACAAAAAGACCAACACAAGAAAAGACAATTGGTCTGGGTTTTTAAAGAAGTTTCAAGAGAAAAGAGGGTTTTGCTCTGCATCATAATTATCCCGACCACTCAGAGTCAGGCACTGTTTATTTTACTAAAGATTTTCTGCTTAAGATATATATTACAATGATTTTCTCATGAAAGCAACACAGGCTTATAAAAATTCAAATAGCACAAAAAGGTGTCATACCACTACCAACACACACACGCATATGCATATACTATCATCTCCCTTTTTAAAAAACATATATGTAGTAATACTAAATACAGTAGACTATTTGATAAATTGCCTTTTCAATTAATCTTACATGTCTTTCCATATCAATGTATACAAATCTACTTGATTATTTTTTACCAGCTCTATAGTGTTCAATTGTGCAGATGCATCAAAATTTAATTAGCCAATTTGTTTTTGATAGAATTAGGTGTCACTTCAATTTTTCGCTACTACTACTAGTGCTTTAAAAGTAATTATACTTATTTTAATTATGTGTGTATTTTTACCATGAATTTAAAGTGTGTATATGTACAGTATATGTGTATATAACTTATTGTACTTCATATGTATTTTCATGAATAAATGTAGATCTATGGCTTCGTTTTTAGTGTGATTATAAGATATTAGATATATATGGAACTAATTTGTTTAATGAATGCCCTACTATTGGTCATTTATGTTATTCTTTTTTTATTTTTTTTGGTACCAGGGATCGAACTTGGGACCTTGCGCTTGTGTGGCAGGTGGTGGAACCACTGAGCTAAATCCCCAGTCCATTTATGTTATTCTTGATTTTTTCACTATCATGAGCAATGCAATATTGAACACCTGTCTATTTAAATCTTTGTGTGTTTGTCAAATTTATTTTCTTTGAATCTGCTTCTAGAGGTGAAGTTGCCGGATGAAAGGTGTACATGTTTTTAAGAATAGTCACTCCATTTAAAAGGAATGTAAGTTTTGTCATGTAGATTCATTGAACAAAGTTCCTCAGTATGATAGCCTTGGAAAAAAACATATATATTGCATAGTTGTTGGTTTCTAAACCTGGTATGGTAGGCAGAATAATAGCCCTATGTCCATATCCTGAACCCCAAACCTATAATTATGATATGTTACATGTCAAAGGAGAGGTGAGAGTGCAGATGGAATTAAGATTGCTAATCAGCTGACTTAAAAACCAGTGTGGGTATCTGAGATTCAGTATAATTACAAGGATTCTTAAAAATGGAAGATAAATGCAAAAGAAGCGAGTCAGAGGGAGATGCGACTAGGGAAGAGTGATTAAAGAGATCCAATATTACTGGCTTTGAGGACAGAAACAGGAAGCCATGAGACAAGGAATGTGGGCAGTCTCCAGAAGCTGGAAAGAGTAAAGAAACAAGAGTCTTCCCTAGAGGCTCCTGAAGGAATGCAGCTTGTAGACATCTTGAGTGTAGCCTGATGAGACCTAGGTAGGAGGACTTCTCATATCCAGTGTTGTACGATAAGACATTTGTGTTGTTTTTAAGCTAATAAGTTTGTGGTGGTCTGTTTATAGCAACAATAGGAAACTGATACACCTGGTCAACATGAGACTAATGGCAGTGGTGTGTGTGTTGGGAGGAAGTTCTTATCCCTAGAGATACTGATTCAGTAGTCTAGGGAAGAGCTGAGAGGCGCTTATTTTTAACAAGCTCCACCTGTGATACTGCTGCAGCCAGTGAGGATTTGAAGAGCTCTGATATAGATAACCTAGGTCCGTGGAAGTGGTTGTCTCCTGTTATGTAGACAGTTGCTTGGTGGCTGGAAGGATGGTCCCTAGGAAGGGGATTGAAGATGTGGCTAGGCCTCCAATCTGGCAACAACCTCAACCCCTCAAGTGACAGTGTTGTTCAACCTCATCAATCCAAGCCTAATATAATTATCACCTTGATTCTCAACTGCTCATCAGCTCACATGTTCCACTCTAGTCATCACTGCCTGTCTATTCTATAGGATTTCTCTGTATTTGATCTTGAAATTCTGCTATATGTTTGTATCTGCCGGGCGCTCCGAGAAGCAGATGCCAAGGAGTTAGGAATGTAAGAATTTTATGGGGGCTTGCTGGGTAACACCTGTGAAAGAGAAAAGGCAGGCAGAAGCAGGATTGAGCAGGGATAAAATCAGACCATGATGCAGATCTGACAGAGTCTCAGCCACCTCAACAGGAGTTTTAGAACAAATACTTTGCAGCAGAGGAGCACTGCATCGGGCAGAAATACCCAGGCCCTAGTATTCTTATAATGCTCAGGCACTGGCTTGGGGTCACAAAGAGCACGGCTGAAAAGAATCCTAAGACGTGTTAACAGACTGAGGCACTCAGATAATCACATTCCTTGCAGCTGAACGGAAAATTCTGTCCTAAAGAGTGCTCCTTTTTAGAACGAACATAAAAGCACTTAAACCCAAGCCTCAATTGCATCTGTGAATATTTTTTTTTTAATTTAAGGTAGTTTTTGTTACCTAACAAAGGGAATTGTTACCTTTTATGTTTTTCCAGAGACAGGCATCATTCAATTGCCTGAGGGTTTTCAGCCCAATTGAAGCAATTTCATTCCTCCCAGATTGTAAAGTTCGAGAATGGGTGTGTTTGGAAGTAGAGGGTGAGGACAAAGACAGCTGAGGAGGCAGAGCCACTTGTTAATTTCTCAAAACTGTAGAGAAGGATGCGAATGAGATTTACCGGCTCTAGCTCTATCAGAGCTTGACTTCTGCAGTTTCAAGACCTTGATCAATGTGATGGGGGAAATGTCATCCCCTGCCTCTCAAGTAACTAGCATCTGACAAGATCATCAACAAATGTGTGGGTGAAGTCACAAACAGACAACACTCGGGGACCAAGTGCCCCAAGGAGCTTTTGTGTCGAGGACGGTACATATCTTGGGGAGTGTGAGTCAAATGGAGACTATTTTCTTTTAATTTTAAGGGTAAAATGCCAAAGTGAGTCAAAAACATCCTTTTCAACTCAGGTCTTTGGAAATAAGATAGGAAATGAAACACAGGATGGATAATAGAAAGCCAGAAGTCTGAGATTAAGTAGCAGTCGATCTATACAGGGATCTACCTGTATATGTCAGAGGAGTGAGGATCTATTAGTGACCAGAGATATTTTTCCCTCTTTATTAAAGTATAACATTGATTACCACTTCCAGCTTTATTCAGTCAAGAGCTTCTAAGGATTTGTAAATAAATGTTGTCAGATCACCCAGGCTGCCTAAGATGTCCGCTTTATTGGAATCATTTCTTCTTTTCCCTAAACAGCATATTAAAGCTCAGTTCTTATGATATATGTTATCCTCTAACACAGATGAATCTTTCTAGAATGAGCCAAGATAAACACACTGTGTAATTATACATCATGAGTGCTAGAATCAGCTTTCCAACCATCACCTAAAAATGAGCAAGGCTTTGAAGGTACATGACTTTAAGGGAAGCTCTATTGGCCAGGTCTTTTTTCCTCTTGCTAAATCTAGGAAGTATATGCAACACACTGGCAAAGCTGTCCTTGAGATAGGAGAATTGCTGTATTACTGCCAAAGATTGCCTATGTCCTCAAGCAAGATTTGTGTTCTTACTTACATAGCACACGTGAGGCAGACGTATCTAACCCTTGATAAGTATTGTGAAGAGAGTAGTGGAGGCCGGGGTTTCAGTGTTGGCTCTGTTATATGAGGGAAGGTGACTTACCTTTTCTGAGCCTCAGTATTCATATACATTAAATGGACATAATAATACCAATCTTGGGGTAATTGGAAAGTTTGAATGAGATGGTAGATATGAAAAAATTACAACCAGAATAGCATCATCTGAATTAATTTTATTATGATTCACCCTCTGAGCCATCATGCAAGAGCAAGTGGTGTATGGATTGGGCATGCTGATAGCAGGGGCTTCCAGTATTGTCACAGGGCAACTACTCAGTTCACACTAGATACAAAGCTGTCTACCAGAGTAGGGAGAGGACACTTGAGAAAGTGTCATTTGGTCTGGAGCAATCTTCAGTGAGGTCTCGCTGCCATATCTTGGGCCAAGCCTCACCCTGTTCCTCCAACTTGACTGAAGATGCAGCAGGTATGCACCTGGGTGGCCCCAACGCCAGTTCAGTGCTGAAAAGAAAGTGAGTATTTCTCAGATGTCACTAATGCTGAGTGAACTAAAAGAGAAGTTGTATTGTTTGTGAAAGCCAGGTGGGCCCCTTTGGGAGGGTCTCATACTCCACTAAGTTCCAAAAGAACACCTGTAGGTTGTCAGGTGTGAGCTCCCATCATCAGAGCAAGCAAAGATGGAAACTCATAGAACTGCCTTCAGGAAATGATCTGGATACAGAATAAGTTCTGCTCCAGCAACAAGCCCAACTTGGGATGGGGCCGTTTACTCAGTTTACGATAAGTAAGTTGTCAAATTGCTCAACAAATTTTTGTTTAGAATGGAGGAAACACATTTTCCAAGTGAACATATTTCATTCACTCATCAGGTTCAGACTGATAGTTTTCAGCTTTTTTCCAGATTTGGGATATGTAGAGAGACTGCGGCCTCAACCCATTCTTGGTAGGCCTTGCCTACTCCATTTTCCTTTTGCTTTTGGTAGAGGCAGGAGTGAAGTTGGCCATAGTCTAATTAAAACTGGAAAGCTTCAGACTGTTGTTGATGCCCGGATTCACATGGAAAAATGGGACAACTCCATAAGATCCCACGTGGTCAGTCTTGTCTCAAAGGATGCTGCTCTGGAAAGTGGGGGGGCTATGCTTTTTCAGTAAGAGGGTAGTGGGTATAGTGAGTGAGTGGTGTGGGGAGGCAGGTGGGCCTTTATGCTCTCCACTCCACAACAGCTCTTTTAACCCTTTTGTGTGCTGGGAATTCACTTAACAGGTTTGAAAACCCCTGCCAAAGGACATAGTTGCCAAGGAAAAGAAAAGCACGATTTGAGGGAGAGCATATGCTTCTTCCTGATTCAGTGTTCTTTAGTGGCAGAAACAGAAAACAGAGAAGAGACTCTCTGGATTCACAGTAAAAACAAAATTTTGTGTAGGTTTAGAAAAAAGTATTCTCTTCATCACACCAAGGTTAATAAAAGAACAGATCCTTTCTTCTCTCTGGAGACTGGTTTCCTGTAAAACAAAATAAGCATGATGATGAAGAAGCTAGCTCTGGAGTCAAATTAGCCCAAGTTTGAGCCTTGAATTCCCCACTGCCCAGCTGTGTCGCCTTGAGCCAGTTACCTGGTCTATCGGATTGGTCATGCTAATTGCATGCTTACTTCATAACAACTACTTCCTAAAATTCTGCCAAGGGTTGAGTTAAATATATATAAAGCCCCTAGAAGAGTGGCTGGCACATATCTGTTCAGCAAACGTTCACTATTATTTTGTTTAAAAAGGCAGTGTCTCTGTACATGGTAGAGTTGAATTATTGAGTGGCCAAGCTGCACTTAGCTTAGTGAGCATGACCAAGGACTTCAAAGCCAAAGGGCCTCTGACACTCACCTGAACTTTCAGTAGGTTAGTTAACTTCCCTAAAACTGCAATTTCCCCATCTATTCCTGAGGATATAGAATCTGCATCGTAAGTAGCTACTAGGGTTTTGTTGCTTTCTGTTTCTGTAGTGCTAGCGGGGGTCTCATGCATGCTAGGTAAGCACTCTACCACTGAGCTACATCCCAGCCCACTACTAGCTGTTATTTTGCTTCACTTTTGTGATATTTGTCATTCTCCTCCTCTCTAATGAGCTTGTACTTTACCCGAGCCAACCATTCCTGTGGTCACACCCTAGAATTTGTCACCACCCACAAAGATGAGACCCTTACAATCTCAATTTCAAACATCTACTCTCCCACTTCATTGGCTTAAGCACTCTTATCCCTGCATTTTTATGTTACCTCCAAACCATAGACCTCCGCTACCCTGGCAACTTCCATCTGTGTCCAGTTCCTTCTTTACACAGCTTGGATACCATGGTCTTTTGTTAAATCTCCTTTCAAATACCCTCCATTCCTCATTCTTATGTGTCATGATTACTCGCCACAACCTCATCCCTGGATAAGATAACCACTGCCTTCTCTGCATATTATATGAACCTAACGTCACTGGTGAAAATCCCACAACACAGCTGGCTGTTCCCACTTGACATGCTTGATCTCAAATGTCAGACAAGCATTCAGAAATTCTGCTTCTATTTCTTGACTAGTAGGCTTGCTGTCCCAAAGCCCCCAAAGACTTTTCATACTTTCCTACTCTCTTCAAACATTCCATATGCTCACTCTCAGCTCATGAGCCTGCCTCTAGAGTTGATTGAGAAAATAGAAATCATTAGATGACTACACTGTAGTCACTACACAGGCAAGCCTGAAAATCTATTTGCATTTGTCATTATCCTCTTTGCTCTGTGCACTTTCAATGGCAGAGCAGTTCCTCTTCCCATGAATTGTCAATGCTTCTACATGTCCCTTCTTTCTAACAGCTTCACCCGTGAAGTTATCCCCATCTTCCTGCACTATCAGTCTCTATCTTTATTGGAACGTTTCCATTACCATTCATATAGGCTGTAATATTTGCCATTTTTAAAAATGCTTTCTCAAACCCCACTAGTCTTTTTAGCTATCCCCTCACTTTTCTTCACTGATTTAATGTTAAAATTCCATAAGAAACTGCTGAAACTTACTGTCTCCGTTTTCTCATCTCCCATTCACTCAGTCCAATCTGGCTCTGTCTGCATCACAGATTTAAATCTGCTCTTAACAAGGTTACCAAACATCTTTGAAGCCACATCCCGTAGAAATACCTCTGTCCTCTTATTGATCCCTTGGCCACCTTTGATACAATTGATTTCTCCCTCTGTTTTGAAGCATTCTCCTCTTTTAGTTTCTGTTTTGTACCACCCCATCCTAGTTCTCTCAATCCACTGGCTGATCCTTTCAGTCACTTCTGTTGGTTCCTCATATCCTTAACCTCTAAATATTGGTATTCTCTAGGACTCTGTCCTCTGCCTTCCTCTCTTCTCTGTCTACCTCCTCTTTCTAGCTGATCACATCCAATGGCCTTAAATGCCATTCGTATACTGCACTGATAAATCTTAAATGTTTACATAGACTTCTCCTCTGAACTCTTCACTTACATATACAACTGCTTAAAACATGCATCCACTTGGGTGTTGTATGGGCACCTTATCCTTAACATGGCCAAAACAGAGTTGGGTTTTCCTGTGGTCTGATACATGTACCACCTTCCTTACCCAGTTGCTCTAGCAGGAAATCTAAGAGCTAATCTGGAGTCTTCCCTTTTCCTCACCACTCCTGTTCAATCCATTAGCAAGTCCTACGAGTTAAAATTCCAAAATATATGTCCAATTCATCTACTTCTATCCATCTCCACTGCTGCCACCTATTCGAAGCTATCATCCACTCATGCTTCTTTCTCCTAACTGGCCTCTGGTCTCCTTCATGCCCTTTCCCAATCCATCCTCCCCACAATAGCTTAATGTGCCCTTAACAGATGCAAACTGGATCACATTGGAATCCTTCCATCTCACTCACCAAGTCACTTAGGATATGAAATCTAAAGTCCCAACACTACCTATAAGAAGGCCTTTTGTCACTTGGTCTGTGCATACCTCTCCAGCTTTGCCTTGTACTGCACTCTCCCTTTGTCACTGCACTCCAGCTATTCTGGTCTCTGCTCCCCCAATTCCTCACATACCCCTTGGGCCTTTGCAGGGGCACCTTCTTCCACCTCCCTCCATCTCCTTCCTAACTCTTCCTAAAACTAGCCCTCCCACTCCCACTCACATGCCACTTTCTCAGAGAGGTCTCCCTTGACCACCTTATGGGAAGTTGGCCCCAACTTTCCCTATTTTAGCACCTTGAATGTTTCCTTCATAGCATTTGTCATAACTTGCAAATATTTTAGTTCTTTCCCTTTTGGAGGTATATCTTTCCCATTAGACTATTAACTATGACAGTTTTATTCATTTTTATATTTCCAGTATATTATAGCACACCATCAACAGTTGTTATTACTTGCATATGTTGAAGTAATGTACAACCAGTGTTTGTTTCTACAGGCAAAAAATAAAATCAAATTCACTAAAACTTTTGGCACCAATGTTTGTGGGGCTGGCTCACCTCCAGAATGCCTTTGTTCAAAGTCTCTCTGACCACCCTCCCGGCTCTGATTGCTCTTCTGCTGCACATGACCCCTAACTCATCGCTGCCTGATGGGCTAAGTCCATATTGAAGATGCAAGAGGACGCTACGCTTTCCTTCCTTTGACACATATTTATTTATCTGGGGCCTCACATAGCAAATCTTTCATAATTACTGAAGTTTCAGCTGAAGGTTTCATGCAGTTCACTTCGAAATGAGGTTAATAAAACTGTACAGAGAATAAAACATACAAAGAGGTGACTGAGGCTCATGCCAAATCTGCTAAACCGGGATGTGGGGTGTGTAATCCAGGCCATTAGGGAGCTTCCTTTGAGCCCCTCTCTGCAGCCCCCTCTACCCGAGCCATAGTGGCAGGATGGCACAGCCATGTACCCATTCTCAAGCTCCCCTCAGCTACTTCTGCAAGGAAAGATTATCTCTCTTTACCTCTCTCCAGAGGCAGTATTGCTCTTCCCTCTTTTGCTTGGATTCTCAGCCCTCTGTATCCCTCTTCCTTTATTCTAGGATAGTGTCCTGGCCACAGATTTAATGGCAAACCCATGTACTATGAAACAGTCTCATCAGTTGCCATTTTTCTCTGTTGATTTAAGTTGGAATTGTTTCTGAGGATTGTTTTGCGGAAACTGTGAGAATAAGGAGATAATATTACGTCTGCTCCTTGATGTTTTATGATCTTAAGGCAAGTCCTTTCACCTCTTTGAGACATTTTCCTCATCTATAAAATGAGATTATTCATTCATTCAAGTATTATTTATTGGATATCTATTGTATAAAGCACCTAGGATATACTTATATATCACAAGGTCATTGTAGAGAGAAGCAGGACAGTGTATATGGTATCTGCCTCATAGTCAATACCCTACACATGTTGCTATTTTGGGCCTCAAAACAATATAAAGCATTATCAGTATTGCCAAATCTTACAATAAAACATGTAGAAACTCTTAACAAGTACTTAGGAAACATCACAGTCCTGACTTTCATATGTTAGTAGGCCAGCACAGCTTATTGCCTTGGGCAGGGATTTATGTGAAGCCTGACTCAGCAAAGGGCTGAACCAGTCCTAAATGTATCTTCTCATTGGGGCATGGCCAGCTAATCAACAAGGTTGGTTGGTTTGTCTTACCAAAAGACCTTAAGCAGAATAATCTTTATTATATTGGTAGATATTTTCTATTTCCTTTTAAAATGTTCTTATATTGTTCCCAGCATTCATTCATTTATCCATTCATTCATTCAATAAATATTTATGGCCCTTTATGCAAGGCATTATTGCAGGTATTAGAGATGCGACAATCTACCCCTCAAATCTCAGCCCTCATGGAACTGACATTTTGGTAAGGGACGTATATACCCCCTCTTCACACTACACTGTAAAATGCCTGAGATCAGGGGCTACTCCCAGTGCTTTTTCCTTTTGATCTTCTCTTAAACGCACAGCTTGGAGAACAGTTTGGGGCACTCAGGATTCCCTCCAAACATACTTACCTGTTTTGACAGCTTACTATGTGCCGCCAGGCATTATTCTAAGCATTTGCATATCTTATTTCACCTGATGCTCTGAGACACCCTTTGAAGTGATTACTATTTTATGCTTATTCTACAAAAGGTAAATGAGGTATAGAGAGAGTAAGAAAAGTGACCAAGTTCCTGAGGCCAGTAAGTAATGAAGCTGGGATTTGAACCTTGAACTTAAGCCATGAAGGTCCTCTTCCCATTCTTCCCAGACTGTCTTCATTTTGAAGCTCCTACTGCCACCTCTTTCCAGTTGAGTGTAGAACCCGAAGTCTTGGGATTCAGTCATATTTTCCCTGACTGCAGAGTCTTGGGGTGACCCTATATGCTAGGCTGAAAACTGAACACCTTGGATAGAGCAAGCTAATCTTCCCAGATCTGTTCATCTTTCTGAGTCATCTTGGTTACTTCAGCTAAGTTGGGCTTAGATTAAAAAATACAGTAGAACTGCTTCTCTAGCAAAATGAGAAAACATTCAAGAAGTTTCACAAGACATGAAGTGCATGGGCTCTCTGAAACCAAGATGAGACCAATTCTATCCATGAAAATACAAAATAATAGAAATACAGTGTCCTGTCAGCTGCTGGAGACCTTGGTTTCTACACCACAAACTCGACAAGTTTCTTCTTTGGATACAGAACCGCAGTGTCAAAGGCTAAACCAGATACCTACTTTCATTTGCAATCCCGGGGCTGACAGGTCCATGACTCGGGGAGACATATACTTTTTTACCTGGAAAAGAAGAAGAAAAGATGACTCAAAATGAAATCTCTGTGGCTGGGGTTGAAAGTATCCAAAAGCACTCCCAGGGCCCTAGATTGCCTGCCCTTCAGTTTATGGACATCTGACATATCTTCTCTTATCAGACGCTGAAAACCAGAAGCTCCTGTTGTCAAGGCTCCTTGGAACTTGTTCTCATCTTCCAGGCAGCGATCTTGATTAAGAGATGCTGACTTCCTCCACAGATCCTGGACCAGTCACCAATGAATACAACTGTGCCGTCATTAGTAGGAGAGTGTGAAGAGCTCACAGCAGTTGAGACTTTAGTGATAAACATTTATTTGTGAATGTGTGTCTGGAGGTTTCAGGAATTTCGCCATGAAATGCCTGGGTATAGTAGAAGTTCACTAAATATTTGCCGAATTAGATTTGAACTGTAAAGCATTATTATGTCTGGAAGATGATGATTTGAGCCATCTGTGTTCTAACCAACTGTTGAAATAGGGCTCTGCTGTGTGTATACATACGCATATATACAAACACAGTTGTTCTCATCTTCCTTCTAAATCCAGTATGAGAAGATTTTTGAAAAAGAGTTATAGGGGTGGGAAGTTTCAGATTTCCCAAGCATGACATTTTTTTTATGATTTACTGTCTACACACACTGCAGATCAAACTCTGGACTTATGTACTTTAATGGGAAATTTGTTTTCAACATGAGGATGGAACACAGTGCAGGACTTAGGCAGGCCCTACCGAACTGGTCGTTTGTGCACTACATGCTTAGTTCCCAGTAAAGACAGCTTCAAGCAATTTCTTTCAGACATGGGACCACAGATATGTATAGACTAGGGAGTTGCAAAAGAAAATTCATCCATAGTACAGAATGCTACAGCGGATGCAGGCTTGGCTGTATGCAACAATTATATTTAGAACAAGTATTTCACATGAAAGGTACATCTTACAGCTAAGTGGATTGCTTTTTGGTGGAAGTACAGTTCAGGCCAATTCTTCCCTATCCTTTTACAAAGAAGGTAGTTCTGTTTTCTGATGGATATTTTATATACATCTAGTAGGCTCAACTAAATATTTGTTGGGTGAATGTGTGAATGAAAGAATGAGTGAGCTATAAGGGTGTTTTTAGTTCGGGGGAGAGGTGGCGGTCAGAGCACAGGAACCCCAAGGAAACCAAGCAGAAGGAACCCAGTGACCAAGAGCAAGCCAGAGGCAGCCAGGCACTGTTACATCTCCAGGTAGAGATGGGGCTGTCTCTCCAGTCACTATGAATTTTAATGTGTAGAGCAGATGGCTGGTATAGATTGCCCTTGTTTTTGCCCAGGAGCCTGGCGTCATTGCAAGTTGTCAACCTGTTTGGAGAATAGAGTTTGAGCCTGTAGGTATGTCACAGAATTCTTTTTGCAAATAGATTATTTAGTGACTCCCAAAGAGGTAAATGTGAGACCCTATGATTTTAGACAGTAGCACATCATTTTTCTAGGAAAAGGCCAAGCCTAAAGACTCAAGTGCATATCTTGAGCCAAGCCTCTTTGGCTGCCTATCCATGTAACCCTTTAGCTATTAAACTTCGAATGTCAGTGAAGCCTAGGGAAGATATATAGATGTTTATGCAAAACATTCCACCCCTCAGCAGCAGCAGCCCCATGTCCAGAGTTGCAGCAATTAGTCTTAACACCCCATCATCTCATGCCAAATCACTCTCAACCACAACCAATCAGAGGCAATCCTCCAAGTATCTATAAGCATTTCCTTACAGTGGACTGAGCTGGGAGGCAGGTTGAAGAGCAGTCCTGTGCTTCCGGCTATCTGGACAGGGTTGTAATCTTCTCTCATGGCAGTTTCCGGAGGACAAGTTAAGCATCTGTCCTGCTGGAGGAAACTTAGGAAGGGCTCACATTTCCTACCAGGGTGAGGCCCTGGAGCCAGGTGCGCACTGGGAAATGCTTGAGAGTAGCCAGGCTCTGGGGAGCTGGGGGTTGCCAGAGAAGGGAAGTGCCACAGCTCCCTAGGCTGAGCAGAGGAGGTCTCAGGCAGGGCCAGTGGGTAATGATCCATAGCCATAGGATCACACACACTCAATCTGCTGCTGGTGGCAGGAGTGGCAAGGGATGCTTCTGGCCGTGGCTTTGTCCATGGAGAAGAGAAACGCCAATGATTCGGAGGCATGTCACTATCTGGGAGGGAAAGATTTAGAAGGCATGTTAAGTGTTTACTTACCATTTTGAAAATGGAAATAGATTATTTTTTTGGTTAAAGTCTGCTACATTTTTTAATTAGAATAAAATATTTTAAAGGGTTAAAACCACACTAATCATAGTATCAAGAAATAGGGCTGGGGATTTAGCTCAGTGGTTCTGCCACCTGCCTCACAAGCGCAAGGACCTGAGTTCGATCCCCGGTACCAAAAAACAAACAAACAAACAAGAAATAGCCAATGTGCTCTTTTGTTGTACCTCCTTCTAGATTTCTTTCTATTTATGCGTACATTGTTTTCACAGTATACTGTTATTCAAGCTGATTTTTCTTCACTGAAATATCATAAATAATGTCTCACAGCCAATACCAACTTCTTTCTAGGATTTGTTTTATTCGTGTATGCATTGTTTTCACAATATATCTTGTTATAAGCTGATTTTTCTTCATTAAAATATCCTATCATGGTAATAAATAGAGCCAAACATCAGCTTTTTAAATGGCTTTCCACTATTCCCTCAATGGACAGTAATGGAATAACTGGTGTCATATTTGTGAGCAGCTTAGTTCTTTTCATTTTTTTCAATTATATTCACATCATTTCAATGAGCTTCTTTGTATACACGTTTGCCCCACTGTCAAATTAGCTCCTTTAGAAAACTTTTCTAAAAGTAAAAGTATTTGATTTGTGTTTGCTTGCTGCTATTGTTTAGTTCTATGTTATCACTAGTGTTTTAAATATACCAAGTAAGAGGATTTTACAGAGCTTTATAGAGAGTTTAATGCTTGCCTGTGTTAGTCATTTACACAATTCTAGGAGTGGCAGTTTCATTTTCCGAGGAATCTGAGGCATGGGGGTGTTAAGAGACTGGGCCAAGGTAGCAAAGCAGATTAGCCCAGTAGGGAACTGAGTAGGAACATAGTTGCTTGGAACGTACTCTGCAGAAGCAGTATGGTTAGGGTCAAGAGGTGACTCAGCTTCTTGCCAAGCCCATGTGGACTGGCTAATAGGGATGAAGTCTGCTTTGGTCCCATAGAGACTGCTAATGGTGCTTGTGGTACTGGCTGAATCTGAGATCTCAGACGTCTAGGATAGCTCACGACATGGATGGATGTTTCTCCATTCTCAACACCCACTCAGGCGAGAGAGGAGGCGGAAAGAGCTCTGCCAGATGGTGCTTACAGCCTGGAGCCTCTCCTCTAGCCAAGATAATGGGGGAGGGGGCATGGAGGTGGAAAACAAAGAAAGCTGGCTGGCAGGAGAGCCTGTCTGAAACACTCATCCTCTCTCCCTGCACAAGTACCTCTTCTAGCTCTCTGGAATATTCGATTTGTCTGCATTTTGTACAAGATAAAGACATCTGAGAGGCCAGCAGAGTGCTGCTGGAGTGGCCCTACACACCACCATAGCTTTCTGTGTAATGCAGATGATAAGAACAAAAGAAACCTGAGCCCACGTGGCGCAGACACGCTCCTGATACCACAGCATTCACTATGAGCAATGGGCAATGGCAGGCCTCTTCTGATGAAACCAAGGCAAGGGGATATTAGGATGTGTTCCTAGGGGTGCATGTTAGTTTTGAAAATTGATTCTCTCTGGGACAGTAGCAACTGGGGTACTGTGTGGCACAGACGGAGTGATTAAGCTGGTTTCACAGAATCACTGTCAGTGAATCATATTGAATAGGGGTACTGCATATCCTAAGCATAATTAGAAACAAAGCAGAGCCTGCAACAACTGGGTGGTTTCCACCTAGACTGGCCTTACGGACCTCATACATATGACCAAGGTGCTTGCTGAATGCTTCATGTAGAAAGTAGGGCTCCAGGGTGTTTTGAATGTTTCTGTTAATTGCTTCCCTTCCAGAGTTCTGTGGCTGAAATGTTAAGGGGTGTAGGTGAAATGCCACTGTTCATGATGCCATGTGGCCACTGGGTGCACCAGAATACAGTCTGGATGGGAGCTTGAGGGGAAATACAAGGTGCCTCCACCCTGAGTTCACAGCAACCCAATGGCTATGGGGCAACTGGGGAAACATACTTTTTGAGACCAGGCTTGGGTGTTGGTGGTCCAATGAGTGGAGATCCTACACTTGGGTGGGCTATTTTTTCTTAGGCTTCTTGGGCCAACTGTTCCAACGACCATGTCTGTCTAACCCGTTGTCAGTGAAAGGGATCTTAAACCGCAGCCTGGGTTGACACAATGCTGCTGTTGCTAGTAGAAGTGGCTCTGGTGATATTCTTACCCAAGTACCGTTGCTTAGTTACCTCTTGAAGAGAGAGAGAGAGAGACAGACAGACCTGTGGGGGGCCTTGCCCCCCCCCCCCCAGTACTCTTGAGTGCCTTTTATGGGCATGTCTAAGCCTGCTGCAAGTCTACCCGGCAACAAGGAAGTAGCCCCAGTACCCTCCCCTTGCTCCCTCCCTCTAGCCCTACGGTATATATGTTGTAACAGCTTCTGCAATAAACGAGACTTGATCAGAAACCTGTCTTGTCTCCATCTCTCGTGTCCCCTGTCCTTTGTCATTCTCGCTCCCCCTCTAGGGTCTCCGTTGACTTACCCGCGGGCCGGGACACAGACAGACAGCATAGGGGTCAGTTTGCTATCTTCTCAAACCCCAAACAACATTAATGAATGGAGAGCAAGTAAGGAACATTTTGATTCAGGTACTCTTAGGGTAGGGTGGGATTTTTCTTTTAGTAGGAATACAGGATGAACTTCTATTCTATATACTCCAACCATAGGCATATAGACCCTACCCCTCTATATCCATCCCCTTAGAATGCCTGAAGCTCTTTGTCCCTAGCTAAATAGTGCTGTCTCCACTTCCCACTCTGCTCCTTTGGATGAAACTGATGGATTCTCCATGCCTCCCTAGCACACCCAGAGGCATCACCCATTCTCACCCATATATACTTCCAGCAGGCCCAGAACATTATAGAAAGACTTTCTGGCACTGAAGAGTTCGCCATCAACCAGGAGACCATCCATCCACTCTATGTGGTAACCCTAACTCCCTATCCCAGTCTAGTCTCTGTGCACACAAACTCAAATGTCACCCTCTCAGAAAGGCTTTCTTTGAATCTTCAGTTTAAAGTTGCTTATCTTGTTACTTTCTGTGAGCACAACTTATTTATTTCCTTTAAAGTAGTAATCCTATCATCTCTGCATTCATCCATTCACTCATCCATTCACTCACTATTGGGCTTCCTCACTATCCAGTAAGAGTTAAAAGGGAAGAGATCATTTCCCTTCTATTCACCACTATATCGCAGCCATTTGCACAGCACCTGGCACAAGATAGGCCCTGATTAAGTATTCCAATCCATGCACACACATCCATGCAACCACACACATGTGTACACATAACTACACATAAACACACATATACACATAGCTGCAAATGTGCATACTCACAACACATATATGTACATCCATACACACACATGCACACACACACCTTTCCATTTAATCTTTTTAAATTGAGGAAAGAACCATGCAAAATGGTCAGGAGCACAGACTTTGAAATCAGAAGGTTTAGAGTCCAGTCCCAGATCTTCCACTTCCTAGCTATGTGACCCTGAGCAAGTCTCCTCACACCTCTAAGCCTCTTGGGACTGTTGTGAGATTGGATGAGATAGTTCATGCAAAGGATTTAGCATAGTGCCTGGCATACAATAGCCACTCAACAAATGGTAGCCGTTCTGTTGTTACTATTAATCATCTCAGTTTATGAACCCAGTTTGGGTATTTTTGTACAGATTTTTAGCATTCAGCGTGTCCAACCCAGGAAAACTTAAAGTAGCAGCTAATATATGAGGCCTAAGAATCGTTCCTGCTACTAGTCACCTGATGCCAGAGAAGGGAGGGGCAGAAAGGAGAGAGCTGAGAAGCCTACAACAGCAGCAGATGTTACTTCAGGGCTGGTGTGGAGGATGGAATAGGTATTGGCTATGAAAGAGAAATTTCAGAAGCCTTTATTCAGTCTGTGTCCATTTCCAGGGAATAAGACATCAGAAATGGACAGAAATAATTTGTAAATATAGAACAGCTTTTGTGTATTGAGTATTTACTCTAAGCCAGGCATTTTGCTTAGCACTCTGCAGACATGTGTCAGTTAATCTTCATTGGCAACTGACTGGATTAAGAGACTCCTGGAGAGGTGATTAAATCATGGGAGCCTATATTCATCAGTGGATTAATCTACTGATGTTCCTAGCTGAATGTGCTATTAGGAGGTGGGACTCAGCTGGAGGAGGTGGGTCACTGGGGGTGTATCTCCCACTGGTGCTCCTCCCTTCTACTTTGCTTTCTAGCTGCCATGAAATGAGTAGCTTTGCTCCGCCATGCCTTCTGCCATGATGTTCCTGCCTTGGAGCCAGCTAACCATGGACTGGAACCTCTGAACCTGTGAGCCAAAATAAAGCTCTCCTGCTTATGTTGTTGGGTGCCAAGTATTTTTGTCACAGCAACAGGAAAGCTGACCCATACATATGAGCTCTTTTGATCCTCACAGCAAGCCAGATAAGCAAATAGAGACTCAGAGTGGTTCAAATAATTTGCCTAAGGCCACATAGTAAGTGGCAGTGTTGTCTGATTCCAGATTTCATGCTCTTACTGGCTATGCCTCCCCAGTATTGTAAAGAATTCAGTGAAGTGGTTTACTGGGCACTTTTGCACACTACCGTGACTGAAGAGGTGGCATAACATTTGGGGGAATCATTTGCAGTATATATCAAACCTATTTAGTGGCAAACACTATAGCCACCCCTTACTAGCTATGGTGTCTTGGACAAGTCACTTGACTCCCAGCCTCGGTTTCATCGTCAGAAGTATGGGCACAGGTTGGTGTGAAAATTCAGTGAGATAATCCACATGAGAGTCTCCAGCAGCGGGACTGACACACAGGAGGGACACGGTAAATGTTGGCCACCATGAACATCATTAGCTCTAGTCCTTATAGGTATTCATCTTCTTGCTGAATGCTGGTAAGGTCTATAGAGGGCAGGCAGGACATATGGCTCTGGAGTCAGATAGACCTGGGTTTCCATCTCTATCCCATACTGTCTAACTCATCTCTAAACACTGACGCTTGTGGGGCTGCAGTTTTCTCCTCTCTAAACAGGATGGTAATACCCATCGTAAGCTGGTTTGGTGAAGTACAACCAACATGAAGAAAAATGAACAAATGTAAGCATGCAGCCGAGATAATTCTCTCAAACTGAGGAATGAGTGCCCAGACTGAGTAGCAACAGAACATGGCTATCACCTTGGAAGACCCTTTGGGTGCCTTCCCAGTCACTAATCTCCCCAAAGGTAGCCTAGCTTCTAACACCATAGATTTGATTTGCTTGTCTTTGAACACTGTAAATCTTAGTAGGTTTTGAGGACCAAAGTAAATGCAATCATTTTAATGTACTATCTGGCACCTAATGAGGCTCAATATGTTTGTGCACATTCCTTTCTCTTCCCAGAAAGGAAGGCTCAGAGTTGTCAAGACTCTCAAAGGCACCACACAACTAGCATGATTAGAGCACACACAGATTCAACTAAAAGAGAAACCCAGCATTTCTTCCCCACCGCCACTAATCATGCTGGATGGGAGACAGAGAGAAGGAGGTGGGACTCTGAGGCTGGATAAGGGAGACCTTATCAGGTGCTCAGGTAAACAGCCTCCTGGAGCATGTTATGAGGCCTGAGCCTGCACTCAGACTAGGCCTGGAGGTAGGACAGGCAGAATCTGGGCTGAGATATAAACCAGCACCCCACTCCGAAATCGCAGTTATTGCAGCTTCCTGAGTTACTGACTCTGAAATCCTCAATGTCTTTTGAAAGGGGAGATAACTCAAAGATACCTTCAATGTGTTATGTTTTCTGAAGTACAGCCAGTGTAAAATTTACATAAGTAAATAAAAAATCACTGATTTAGGGGGGGAAAAGCCAGGAAATTCAATGGCATTTCCTAGCCACACACCTCTCTGTGTTTGGGCTTTACATATTTGGCTTAACAGAGTACCTCTTAGAATGTGGACAAGTCTTCGGTGGGAGCAGGTGAATGGGGGCCTGTTTTCCTCGGCGTAGCTTAGCCAAGGCTAGGTGGCCTGGGGCTGGCCTATAGGGGTTAGGAGGGTGTTAACTAACAGTAGTGAAAGGCCACTTTATAGATTTCCCACCATTTTCAAAGCTGCATGTCTGTCATATAACACCTCCTGTGAGAACTTTGGCAGGGCTGAACTCCTTTTACGGAGTTCTCCCCGGAGGCAACACAGTTTAGGAGAAACTTGACTCCTCATTGTGATAAGAGAGGCCTTGAGGGATAAAGTCTTCCCTTCAGTTGCTCAATCCACCTAGCCTGCACCATGTTCTGTGAGGAAGACATCTTCATAGTGAAGATATTTATGGGAAAATGTAATAACCAAGAAGATAAGTGGAGAAAAGAGCCACCTTTCTATTTGGCTTGCGAACGCTGACTCAGTGAAGCTTCCTTAGCAGGCAGGGGCTTCATAAAATGATACGGAGTAAAGTCAGAAGGCATAGAAAATACTACAGCAGCCACTCAGCAGGACCCACTGAAAACTTGCAGCCTTACAGGAGAAGCCTTCTGCTCTGTGATTATTTTGAACGCAGGCCATCACAGCCATCTTAGTCATTCAAAAACATGTCAGGTGCAAGCATCATCCCCACAAAAGTATCTAGCACTGACATACACCCACTACTTTCCACTTATCATGGATTATCACATTGACTCCTCCAAAGCATCCTCCTGTAATGAAATAATATTCAATTTTGGTGGTAAGGAAGCAGGTACAGACAGATGATGTGATTTGCTTTGAAATCACACTGTTAGGAAGTAGTGGAGCTGGTCTAGCACCAGGCTGCCTTGTTCTAAAGCTGTGCATCACTATCCCCTCCCTAGGTGACCTCATGCTGTGGTTTGTAAATTATTTGTCCCTTCTGAAGCTCATATTCAGATTTATGCCCTACCATGAGATATTATGAGGGTGGAAGCTTAGTTTGACTGTGACTTTATGAGGTGATTAAGATTAGATAAGGTCATCAAGGTTGGACCTGATGATGATGATTGAATCACTGGTGGCTTTATCAAAAGAGGGAGAAAGACAAGAGGATGCATGCATGTGTTCCCAGCATCTTGTCATGTGATACCCTGCACTGCTTGGGACTCTACCAGCATGAAGGCCATCAGCAGATGGGGCCCTCAACCTTGGGCCAGAGCTGTGAACCAAATTAAATCTCTTTTCTTTATAATTCACTAAGTCTGTGGCACTGCGTTATTAGCAATAGAAAATGGACCAAGACACCGCATCTGCAGAGTCATTTCCCTGTGATCCAAATCACAGTTTCATTCATTTAAGCAACATACACTGCCTTCCATGAGTCAGGCATCGTGTTAGGTGCTTGGACAGCAGCAATTAACAGACTGACTCTCTGCTGCTACGGAATTCAGAAACCAAGTGGGGTAAGGAGGAGTCAACAACAAAACATAAAAATTTATACTGTGGTTGCTGGTGACAAATGCTAAGAAGAAAAGTAAAACAGAGTAAGAAGACAAAGTGACACTTTGGGACTTCTACTTTTTGACATGTCTCTGAAACAACTGGAGATCACAGTCATTCTTGCTCCTGCTCCGATCATTCAACACACTCCTGAATCTCACCTCCCCACTCTCTCCCCATGCCCTCTGGCCATTTTAACAATGTGCTCCACATCCTTTCCTCTGGAGGCTACTACCATGTACCCTTCCACACTGGTTTACTAAACCCACAAGATTCTTCAAAAAAATCCTATCACTTGGCTATAAAAGTAATTTCCATGCAAGAAGTAATTCTGCAAAAGTGAGTACATTGGGTTCACACTAACGCCCTTGCAGACACAAGGAGCAAAGTGAAAACCATGGCAACTGGCAAAAGGTGAGCTCTTCACCTGCAGGCCAAGGCCCCACTGGAGGCGTTCGACATGTAGGCTTGACAACAGCAATGAAGAGCTCTTAAATTCAACCAGACCTTGATCTGTTTGCACATTTTACAAAAGCTGGAGAGCTCCCGTATTGATTCACATCCATGACAGGAGTGAGTCTATGAGGACCGGGAGGCACAGTGTGTAGGGCTCCTGAATATTTCAAAGGGCCCATGAAAATGTCATTTGTTTTAAAATCAAAAGAAAACTATGAATAAGATAATGATACTGCATGCATTAAAAATGAATCCAGCCTGGATTTAATTCATTGTTATAGCCATGCAGTACTAAAATGGTAACTTTTAATATCTTTATAAAGGAAAGGAGCCCATGAATGCAAAAGTGTCTAGGGTCCATGGAAGTCCTACCGTGGCCTCTGCCAGTTTGATGTGCATGTCCTCCCCCAAACTGGGATGTGCACATTGTGACACAGTTCTCTTGAGCAATAGACACCCCTGACCCTGTGAAGAGTGGGAGAAGGATGTGATAAGACTCATCATCTGTCTCCTCTGGCCCCTGCCCTTGCTCACCAGATCATTCACTATTGGCTGAGAGGAGGCTTGGAGCCCTAACATGAGACATGCTTTATCTTATCATGGATCCTTTAGTCTTCCTGCTCTCAGGCTAATAGTTAATAACACTAATACTGATAATGGTGATAATAGTGAACAGTTGTTGAGCTCTTATTGGGCTGAAGAATCAAGCCAGCATTTAACCTAATTGAGGAAATAATGAAATAGGTAAACGACTTTTGCTTAAAGTGTGCATTTTACATTAACTTCTAAGAAGACATGTGGCTTCTCACTAGGCAGTGTGACTTGCCTTTAGCAAGCCTTAAGCTTGGAGTGCATCAAGCTCCTCAAAGAGCTGATCTTTCAGCAAAAGCCTTGTTAAGGAATTCCAGCCTCATCCCTTCCAAATGCTCACCATTCTTTAGGATCACTTCTTCACTCTGGCTCGAGGGGCTCAATTCCTGGGGCCGCTTAATATTACTCAGAGCTCTGGAGAAGTGCTCATCCACTTCACTGCTGATGTCCCCCTGGAAATAGGTGAAAAGGACACTCCTGGAATTCCATTCAGTCTTTATAGGCTTCTGCCGACTCGTGGGCAGCTGGGTGTCAGTCTTCTTCATCTCTTCCATTCTGAGAGAACGACACAGATGATAGCTGTAAACGAAAAGGAAAACATCACTGGTCCTATTTTACCAAGGGGCTTGGCTCTAATTTAGATGAGTGGCACTCTTTTATAGTGTGCAAACATTTATTAAAATTGATGACATGTTTAATCTTCTCCCCCACGAGTATTCAGCTAGCTGCCTGCAATAAAAACACTACTTTTAGTCATATTTCCAGATTTCAACTTAAATGGTACTTGGGAAACACAGAATATCAGATCTTTTATCATTATAAAGCAACCAGTGAGATATGAGTGGCATTCTTGAGGGTAAACAGTTTGCTCCTACCCAGTACAGGTTCTCACTGAAGCCTCAGGGAGCCACCAGGTTCCTAAAGGTCAACAACAAGATTAGGATGGGCGGCAGGCCAGCTGAGGAGCCTAGTCTAATCAGTGTTTAGGCAACAACACAACAAAGGGTACAAAGTGCTGAAAGGGGCCTTCCCTTACAAATGAGACTATCAGGCCACATGACTAGAAAAGCAAAAGGAGATGGGGAGTGAGGGGACACTGAGGCCAAATGGGAGAGTAACTTGCCTTCTGAGAAGCGCCTTCCTTCGAAATGAGTGAGCCAAGCTCAGCCCAGAATGCCTTTCGGGAACAGGCTCCCTGGGGAGCTTGCCTAAGCAGGCCAGTGGGAGCCTGCTAAGTCCAACTTGCATGGTAAGCTTTGCTTTCCATCTTGACCACTTTCATGTGGAAGAATAGAACACATCCAATTCTCTCATTCCTCCCAAGGCCCTAGTCTATGTAAGATGGTGTCCTGCACCTATTCGTGCTACCTTAGAAATTAGCCATTACAAACACCATCAGCTTTAAGGCCTCCAGACAGACACATTTTGAGCCAAATACAGAACTCCTGAAAACAACTGTATGTTCATATATTGTAGGAACAGTCGTAGAAAGCTCCTGAAAGATTGCAAAGTTGCCATTCTCTTCACTACCATGTCCTCTGTATCTAGAACAGTACCTGGAATGGAGGAGACGCTTGATAGCTGTTTGACAAGCTGCCTTAAAGTAGAACTCCATTAGTAGCATCAACATATCCTGCCCTGTGAGTTCCCTGAGGTCACTGGTTGTCCATTTGCATCCAGGCAAGGACCTGGCACAGCATCAGCGCTCGAGAGGGTCTAGTTAGTATTCAGGGAACAGCGTGGCCTTACTCTACCAGGGAAGTAGCCTGTCTAGATGCTTCTTTCCCTTTGGCCACCCAATCTGGCTTATCATGTGCTCTGGCCGAAGTTGTGTTTAATCTGTTCATTCTTGGGAATATAATGAAAATGCCTAGAGTTTAATAGACTGTATCCCTCACTAGCTTAGGAGATATTGGACATCAGGGAGTATTTCTTATTCATGTCTTTGTCCCAGGATCTAGCACAAAGTAGATGTTCGGTAAACAGGGGTTGAATCACTGAGTGGCATTTTCATGCAGAGCAAGGTATCATATATTGCAAGGAAATCATGGTCAGAGGGCTGGGGGTTTCCTTGGCTGTGTACCGCTGGGGGAACTGAATAGCCTCTCTGGGCTTCATATTGCTCTTAAGTGAAAAAAAAGCGTTTGGAGTATGTGAATTCTTCAGCCTAGTCTTTTATGGTTCTACTAAGTTCTAACAGGTGACGATGGGGACATTAGAGAGCAACCTGGCAGTGAACAGAGGACCCTTTCCAAAATGTTCTCTTCTTAGCATCATTCTAGCCCAGTCATACGTTGTCTAGAGAAACCTTTGATTAAACACCATATTTTTGTTTCTCCTGGCTGACAGTCAAGCTAAGTATAACCAGGCATTACATAAAAGTGAATCTATTTTGCATCTTTATTTCAAAAAAGACAGAACAGCCACTTCAAAAAATTGGTAGTTTCTTACAAAGTTAAAACATTTTCTTACCACCTGATGGAACAACCTTACTTGTAGGTACGCATAATCAAGAGAAATGAAAGCTATGCCCACATAGACTTGTACATGAGCATTCGTAGCAGCTTTATCCATCGTGAGCAAAAAAAGAAATTATCCAATTTTCTATTACCAGGAGAATAAACTAGCTGTGACACATTCATACAAAGGAGTGTTACTAAGCAATAAAAAGGAACAAACTACCAATCCACATAAGAGAAAAGTGAATCTGTAGAACACTATACTGAGTGAAACAGGCTCAACACAAAAGACCACATATGGATGTACCCACTTACATATATGGAACAAGCCCAAGTCACAACAGTGGTCGCCTGTGGGCTAGGGACTAAGAAGGGGCATGAGGGAGCCCTCATGATGGTTGTTACCCAAGGAGTAGGAATGTGCTTGGTTTCTCATCAACATGGTCCCACATCTCGATGAGTGTGGTGAGTATTATGTGCATGTATATATTTGTCAAAACTCATCAAATTGTACATTTATGATCTGTGCATTTCACTGTCAGTAGATTATTCCCTAATAAAAAGCCCAAGATCCACTGAGATTCTTGGGGTTGTTGAAATAAAGCAAAGGTGCTGTGAATTGTAAAGTAATTGAGACTTGGGGTTGCAGAAATAAAGCAAAGGTGTCGTGAATTGTAAAGTAAGAGACATGGAGAATACCTATTCTGTGCTAGAAGCTATGCATGTATCTTTGCTCATCTTTATAACCCTCAAAGTAGGTATTATTGTCACCATTTTACAGATAGCAAACTGGAGCTTAGAGAAAGTAAAATCAACTGCCCACACCACATGGCCGGGTAGTAGCAAAGCTGAATTTTGAACCTAAAAGTCTCACTGGCTTCATGTCCGTCTGCTTTTTACTATCCTCTACTGCCTACCTGATGGCCATAATAGTTCCTCCCTCTGTGGGTCTCAGTCTCCCCAGCTACCAATGTAAGGGTGGGGTTGCCCTCTAATCCCTAAGGGGCTGCGAGCCAGGACACTCAGGCAGTGGCATGATTTCCTCCAGGGAAGGCAGGCATAACCTCAGTCCACTCCCCCAGGGCTTCTCCTTGAAGCCACCACCTGCTGCTGCAAGGGCCGGATAGCACCTTTGGAAGACTCGCCCTCTTAATGTGCAGAATTGCTAGCAGCCACTGCTCTAGGCTCAGGCTTGACACAGCTTGCAATCTGCCTTTGTCAACTGTCCCTGAAGCCACATGCAAAGAGGTGAGCGAATTCTTGGGACATCAGGGCCAGAAGCACGTTCCTAGTCTCCTTGGGTAATATCCACAGAGACCAAAGGCCAGCTGAGAAAAGTTAGACAGAAAATCGGGGTAGTGATTCATCCCGATCACCCATGGGCAAGTGGGGAGACGGAATAAATCACAAGGACTACCTCTACCTCTCTTTTCCTCTCCAAACACACAGATACGTGAAGAAAGTGGGGGGTTACCTCTCTGGATTCAACTCACAAGCAAGTCCCTGGGCTGCACTCCGACCGCAGGACAGAGAAACTGGATTTGAGGAATGTTAAAATTCTGAGTATTAAGCTCGCTACGATGGTACGTACCTGTAGCCCCAGATACTCGGGAGGCTGAGGCAGGAGGATTGCTTCCGCCAAGGAGTTCAAGACCAGCCTAGGCAAGAATAGTGAGACTCTGTTTCAAAAAAAAGAAAGAAAGAAAAAATTTAAAAACAAACAAAATTCTGAGAATTGTCATTTGACTTAATACTATGAAGAACTGCATCCCATGGCACCTCTGGAAAAACCTGAATAGCTTCATCTCATGTGATTCCTCTGTGAGGGGTTTCTATTCAAGTGTCTACTGGGGAGGGTCCGGCTTACAAGAAAGGGATGTAAGACACAAGGTAGAAAGACACAAAGAGTTCAAGTGGACCTCAGAATACTGCCCAAACTTCTGCAAAAAGCTCTGAACACAGAATCTAAAACCAGCCGTTTGGCCTCAACCCTACTGCACGGCCAGTGCATGGACACTTTGACCACACTTCTGCAAAATGGCACCTAGCACTCCCGGGTGGAGATGGACATCAGTGAGGTTGGTTGTCACCATGATCACTTGGAACCAGACACCAGATTGGATCTTATTGGGCACAGCATTTGATACTCCCCAATTCCTTCCCAGTTGATTTCCACCCATGTTCCCCAACCCTTGAAGTCCTCAGCTTCTCTTACCTTAATTCTGGACCATCATCTGAGCCAGAGCAAGACTTTATGACTGCGGTGAGGTGAGCGTTGAAGGCCAGAGCTGCCTGGCCTGCTTTAGAGCAGCCCAGTGCTTGCGGAAGCAGGAGGCAGGGATTTGTACCCTCCCTTTGTTGCCTGCTAGCCCTCTAGCTGAGGCTGTACAAGGCGTTTCCTGCTAGCTATCTATTAAGAATGCAGAAAATGCACTCCAACAAGTCCATCTGGTTGGGCACCTGCAAGAATGAGGAAAATGGATAGCTCTTTTTAAAACATTTCTTCTTTTTGTATTAATAATCATTTTGTTATATTGTCTCTTGAACAGTTGTTAGCCCTAAACCATACACAGAGTCAGTAACATCTAAAACATCAGTTATGGGGTTTAAATCAAACTGATGTCATATTCAGTTTTGAGAACTGACAGCAGTTTGGGTTTCCAGATGCCTTAGAATTCTGGATTTGTCACAGGCTTCCATGGGCCACAGAGGGAGTGATGACTTCTATGATCCTGCACTGAAGGAAGCAATTCTGGAGGATTGCTCCAGCAGGAGGTTTGTAACAGGAAGTCTCAAGGTTAAAAGATTTGAAAAACCCTTCATATTGCCTCATTAAATGGCACCATCATTCAGGGCCCAACCTCTGGGGACATTCTTTGCCTTCAACAACATTAATTCAACAAGTATTTATTGAACATGTACTATGTGCCAGGAACTATTCTTGAAGTTTTGTTCTCTAGTAAACAAATCAGACCAAATTTGCCTTCATGGAATAAATGCACACATGTATGTTTGTGTGTACATATATAATGTGTATGTATGTGTATATCAGTGATTTGTACTATGAAGAGAAATGGGAAAGGGCCAGTAGGAGTCCTGGAGCAGGGACTCTCCAAAAAGGTGACATTTGACCCGAGCCCTGAGGGAGGAAGTCCTATGGACACTTGCTTTCCGGATCCCCAAGGGAACATCAAATGCACAAGGTGAGATCACGGTTAGCCTGTTCACAGAACAGCCAGCAGGCCAGCTTGGCTGGAGAGGGGTAGTGAGGAGAGGGGGGACCAGATGCCAGAAGACCTCAGCTTTCATGCTTCCACTTTTCCTCCACTTGAGAAAGACCCACTAGAGGGCTTGGAGGAGCACATCACCAAGTTCTGCAAGCTCTACCTTCCCACCCCTGTCTGATTGCTCCTTCCCCACCGCCTCACCAACGCCCACCCTAGACCAAGCCCCCATCATCTCTCCCCAGGATAGCCACCCCAGCCTCTTACCTGGGTTCCTGACTGACTTCTCCCTTCCCTCCTTCTAGTCCATGCATTCCCAGGCAGCCCCAAGTGATCATTTAGAACATACGCAGAATCCAAGCCCTCCTTATTAAAAGCTTCTAATGGTTTCCCTTCTGGCAGCATGGCCTACAAGACCCTCCATGGCCCAGTCCCCACTTCAGTCTCGACCTTATTTCTTTCCACTCGCCTCTTCATTTCACTGCAATCCCACTGACTTCCTGGTTATGCCTTGAACAGCTTAGGCACCCTCTACTCTTTACCCTGAAGGTTTCTTCTCCCTAGAATGCTCATCCCCCCCGAACACATCCTGCTGACATGCTCTCACACTTTATTCAAATCTTTGCTCAGTCACTTCCTCTGAGAAGCCTTCTCTAACTATCCTGTCCAGAGTAGTGGCCTTTGAGTTCCCTGCCCTATCACTCCACTTTGTGTTTTGTCATAGGGCTTTTCACTTCTTGATATCATATGTTGCATATTTATTTGTGTAAAGTTTCTCACCCTTTCTAAAATAATGCCTGGCATATAGTGGGGACTCAGTAAATATTTGTTGTTGTTTTTTTGTTTTGCTTTGTTTTTTTGAGACAGGGTCTTCCTGTGTAGTCCAGGCTGGCCTTGAACTCTAGGTAGTCAAGCTGGCCTCGAACTCACAGCAATTCTCCTGCCTCAGCCTCCTGAGTGCTGGGATTACAGGCATGCACCACCATGCCCAGCTCAGTAAATGTTTATTGAATGAATATATGAGAAGTGGGGGGGGGAGAATATATCCAATATTCGCACAAATAAATGTACAAGAACAATCTTGATGAATCAACGCCTGGTACTAGGACAGCCTCTATAATAAGGAAGCCTGACTTAAATCAGGGATGACAAGGCACCTTCCCTGTGAAAATGATGCTTGAGCAGAGGACTGATAGGCCCATAAGGCTAAGAAGGAGTTCACCAAGCTAAGAGGGGAGAGAGAAGCTTTCTAAGCTGCAGAAATAGCACATGCAAAAGCCCTGTGGTAGGAATGGTTGTAAATATGGGTCCCAGAGAAAAGGAGGCATTGCGTTTGGAGTAGTCAGTGGAGAGGAGGGGCACAGCACAGCATGAGCTGGAAAGGTAGTCAGGGGCCACAGTAAGCAGGGATTTGAAGGCCGTACCAAAGAATTTTGTATTTTTCCTGAAAATAAGAAGCTATTGGAAGGTTTCATAGAAATATGTGCTCAGGACAGTAGAGATGGGGAGGAAAGGGAAATGATGTCACCACATGTGTACTTTTAAAATTCCCCAAAGAATTAAAAGCATCATACCACAGTGATATATGTACACCCATGTTCACAGCAGCACAGTTTATAATAGCTAAAGCTTGGAAGCAGCCCAAGTGCCCATCAACTGGAAACTGGATAAAGAAAATGTGGTATTTTCAATAAAATGGAGTACTACTCAGCCATAAAGAATGAAAAACTAGAGTCATTTATAGCTAAATGGATGCACATTGAGGCGATATTCTTAAGTGAAATAAATAGGACACACGTGTGTCAATACCAAATAATTTCTCTGGTGTGAGAAGCTGAAAGTGTAAATAAGGACTAAAACGTATAATAGGTCATGTGAAATAGGAAGAAAAGGGGCAAAGGGGAAGGGGAAGTGGGAGGGCTAGGGGAAAGGATAGAAGGGAATGGGATTAATATGAGAAAATGAAGAAATGGAAACAAAGTCTTTGTAAATAGGGAGGGATGGAGGGGTTGAAGGGAGGGCAGGGGAAGGGGGAAAAATAAGAACCAAGAGAGATTATGTAAAGGTGCAAATTTCCAATGATGAATGTCATTATATTGCATACCTAAATTGTACCAATAAAACTAATTTTAATCAGTCTGGCTGGAGTGTGGAAAAAAGGATTGAAGGAGTAAGTGAATGTGAATCAGCCAGTTAGAGGGATGTCCTCATGGTCTACAGAGGAGATAATGGTAGCTGGTTGGGGGGAAGGATGTGCAAATAGAAGTCAATTTAAGAGGTATTTAGAAAATAAAGTCAACAGACTTGGCACTTAATTGGATATAAGGAAGAAGGTATGTCAAGGATAAACATTAGATTCAGGGTTATGTAACCTGGTTGATGAGTTTGCCTTTCACTGAGACATGAAACCTTGGAAGATTGTTATGTATGGAAGAGAAAAATGAAGACTTCCATTTAGAGCATGTTGATTTTGAGGAGACTTAAAGCTATTTAAGAAGAGGTGACAGTATCCAGTCAGTAGAGATGTTAGAGGTAGAGATACAAGGTCTTGAGCTCTAACTTTCCCAGGGAGAGTGGAATGTGAGACATAAAGAGGCAGTAAGCCCAAAGCCCAAAGAAGAATGTATATTTTAAGAAGGTGGAGCTAATCATCTGTACCAAATACTGCTGTATAGTATAAGAGCCTGATGCCTGCAGTTTGTAGCATGGAAGTCAGACATGACCTGGTGAGAAGTGTTTGCTGGAGAGATAAGGCCAAATTAATATTCAAGGGATGGAAGAAGACAAGAGGAAGATCTGTACTGACAGCATGGAGAGTACTTTGTAGGAATGTGGAGGTGGCAGAGTGGAGAGAGAGAGAGAGAAAGAGACAGAACAAAATCTGTGGGGTAGGAGTAGGAGTGTTGAACAATGTTGTTGTGTCATTTTCTTAAGAGGGTAGATTTCACCATGATTAAAGCCAATTGAAAAGATCCAGTTGAGAGCATGAAGTTGAATATACCACAGAAAGAAAGGGTTTTAAATAACATAAAATACTGGAGAAAGCAGATGGAGGGGATGAGATCAAGGTTCACATGAAAGGACTGGCTTTCAGTAGGAGGCACAGTTCTGTTGTTACAGGAGGAAAGGGGCACAGGATGGCTACAAACACAATGAAGTTTATGACCTCGGTACCTGAGCTGGATATTCTTCATTTACTCACTTTTGGTTGTTGTAGGGATCGGACTAGAAGATGGGAGAGCTTGAGTGTATTCTGGGATACTCTTCTAAACAAATTTGCAATCTTCAGGAAGTCATTTCCCATACTTTTGCTCATTTTAAAAGCTATGCTCTTCTGAATAAATCAAGGGGAGGTGAAGTCTAAAATGGTAGAAAACTAACAACTTAGAATGTTCTTTTTATTGTG